CCCCCCCTACCTGTTGCGCAGCGCAGATCATGCACCTGAAACACTCCGTGTCGAAAAATTATTCGGTTAAACGGAGAAAAAGCACAAAAGCACTGCATCCTGGCTTATGGGTGCTCCGCACCCATGCGAAAATTCTCGCGGGTGCTTCAGCCCCGGAGCACCCACGGAGTCGGCGCCCCTGGTCTAGCATCTTACCAGGGGTGGGATTATCGGTTTGTTCTTGTGAAGGAACAGGTCCCTCATCGACCCAGCTTGAGCAACCTGGCTGAGGTGTAGATGGTCTGTTGCTAGATACTGTACCGTCAGTTGGAGCATGGAGAGGATTCCTTGGTTCATCGTCCGTTAAGAATGCATAATCGGGAATGGCGGATGGATCAAACGGGACTATGCCTGTGGCTACAAAAGAGGATACTGCATTTTTTATTGTCGCTGACTTCTCCCAGGCAGAACCCAGTAATTTTCCAAATTGGAGCCTTGTAATACGTGAGGAACAAACTGTTCTTTTAACCAATTGAAAAAGATGATATTATTAACATACGCGGACTTTTCCGACATATAAACGATAGAACCAGGCGGCATTCTGTCTTGAAATTCAGGCTTTTTGTTCTTTCCTTTAAATATGGCCGTGGGAGGAATAAATGCCCCTTCAGCATTACAGCAACAATAACGGAAATTGTTTCCCCTTTTTCCGCAGATGAAATTGACACAACATTCTTGGAACCTTTAGCAGCGATGACGTGCTCAGGACGGGTGTTTAATTGTAAATCCGTTTCGTCTATGTTGAAAATGTGACCGGGTTTATTCATTAAGTCATTTTCAGTTAATGTGCGTTCAAGCCAAGAAAAATACGTTTCCACATTACTTCTGTTCATTGCCAATGAACGCGCCGTTGAAACACTCTCAGACTTTCTTATTGTAAGTTCCTTATTCCGTCGTAAAAATGATTCTAGCCATGGATAACCTGCCTTGCAGGATTCCCTATTAAATTTATGCGGTAACTTCAACTGTTCTGCTAACTGAAAAGCCATGGAGCGCACAAAAGATCTGGATGGAGCAAATCCATGCTTTTGCAACTTCTTAATATGGCTTACAATTTTCATTATGACTGTGAATATCTCGTTTCTTCTTTCTGCGTCTCAAGGTAGCTTCGGGAACACCAAACTGGCGGCCAGCTTCTCGGACACCCATTCTCCCTGTTTCTACCGCGCTTATCGCCTCGGATAGTTGCTGTACCGTCCACTCGCATCTTTTAACGCTTCCCTTTCGTTTATATTCGGTCGGCATATCTATAAAATATCAATC